TGGTGGAGTGGGAATGTGTCCAATTGTCAAACAAGTATCATGCTTAGCTAAGGAAAGGTACGTAGACGTATAAACGCAAAGGCCCGGAGTTATGGCTCCTTCACTCCCGAGTCCCCGTCCAATCGATGCACATCCTCGGCCACTTCCGGCCTTACCCAATCTCCATTGGCTCCTTAGTCTCTCAGAGTGGAAACTCCCGCTCGCCTGGTATCCACCTGTCTCCGGCCTACCTGCCAGCCACCGCGTGGTACCAGCCGCCCAGGTGCCAATGCAGCACATCGGAGATCCTCCTCCATCAACCTTGAATTCAACAATCACTTGCATCACTAACACTAAACACTTGCATCAACGAGGGGCCGTGCTCAAAGTTCAACCATCAATGCGCCGCTGCATCGGACGGTACCATCGCCTTACGCCTCAAAAGATATTGTGCCTGTGCCTGATTGTCCGCCCCTTGCCCTTGGTCTCGTCGGGAGCTAAGGGCTGCTCCAAGGATCTAGCACGTGCAGCAAGCGCGCCTCCCCAGTATCGTTCCTCCCTGAACTCACTATTATGATGTAAGCCATCGGACTTACGAGGAACTCATACACAGAGACCTGTATCGTAGAACGAGATATTGTCTCGGTGAGTGAGATCTGGTGAGCACGACAGGGCGCATGGATACGTGCAAGGACCAGGAGCCTTTTCTACCCGCATTGTGAATTTCAGCCTCCCCTCACCCAGATCTAGCCAAGCTCGAACGTACCTTTGGACAACCTCTGGACCGGAATCAAGGAACCAGGGTTATGGATCAAAGTCTGACCCCAGAGTCTGTGACTGTCTTCCGGTATATCATTTACATGCAGAATCTTGAAACATGTGTTTCCCTCCTATTTACCTAAATATGCAGCTCGTCAAGCAAACCCGACCATTAGAACATCGGGAGCTACCAAGGGACTAAGCTAGCCAACGTCGAAGCTACATGATAAGTCAATGGCGACTCCAAAAACGAGTCATGCCCGACCATATTCTAGCTCCAGCGGCATGACATCTCTATCCGTCATCGTAGCTACCTACTCATATCAAGGTAGCTAGCTGGACGTCCAGTCTTTTTTCCCCCATCTTCGCATCAACGCGGTTGAGTCGATCCAATTAATGGTCTTTGTTAAAATATAAAGGCACGACCGGACAATACCCATCCCGCGGAGGATCATGCTTCATCCCGACCTCAACCTTTAACCCATCACACGTCGCAGTATCCCCATGCAACGCAAACCACGACGTCTCGAGCAAAAAGTCCATGAACCGCTTCCTCACGTGCGGCGGCGAAAGATTCTTACCCTTGTCCTCCCGGAAGAATACCCTCTTCCACCCGGACGCCTCGCACCACATGATGATGAGACACCACCGCCGCGGCCTGCTGGGCCCGGCACCGTTGCCGTTACGGCTGCCATTACTACTGCTACTAGTGCTGCTGCCGCCGCCGCCGTGGTTGATGAGATTCACACAGAATGCGTGAACCTCCTTATTCGCAAACCTCTTGCTCGCGTGCGCCGCCGTCTGTAGATACTCCTGCGGATCGGCCTCCGCGTCGTCGCCCACCTGCCACGACTCCAGCGCGTCGTTACAGGAAAATAGTTGGAAGAGTAATTCTGGCGGCTTGTCGGGCTCAGCATCGTACACTGGTAAGACCTGTTTCTGAAATGATCTTGACATCTTGAAGCCCGGCAGCTCCGAGAAGCGAGGGAAGTACGAGACAGAGACGGAAGAACCGCGGCCGGACTGCTGCTGCTGTTGGCGGCGCGCAGCATACCGGGCGGGCATCGATACGTTAGCTAGCGGGATCGGCAGGTTCGCCTGCGGTCTCGACCTGTGCCGTCCAAACGTCGACGTGAAGGACGTGGTCCAGAGCGGGATGCAGATAACCGTGTCGTCGTGATTCTTGATATCGTGCCTGCAGTTGATGGCCGCGTACACCGTCGTCGAGGAGGCCGTCTTGATGAGCGGCAGCGTCATGCTGAGCCCGAGGTTTGTCATTGTGAACTCCTTTCCCACGGACCAGTTGTCGTCCGCGGCGGTCCTGCACTTGACAACCTGCCCACACCCGGAGAACGCAGAGGGATGCGGCGCCAGCAGGGTGACCCAGAGGTCGCGGCGGGGGTCCATCGTCTTCTCGGTCCAGTCCCACGCGAAGAGGCTCTGGTCCGTCGAGACCTTCATGATTTCTTCCTGTAGTCTGCGAAAGGCCTCGTGGCCCTCGCCGTAGAGAAGAGGCATGTGGATCTGGAAGATGCCAAGAAGGCAGTACGCCGTGTCCTCGGTCCGCGTCGTCTGCCGGCTGGACGCCCACGACATCCTCTTGGCGACGCAGGCGGAGGAAAGGGTCTGCGGGTAGATGAGGACGTCGACGTCGATGCCCGTGATGGAAGCGATCGGGTACGCCAGGGTCTCCTTGGTCCCAATGGGCTCCCACGTGCCGTCGTAAAAGGTCATGTCCGCAGGCGCCAGCAGCTCCTGGAGCGTCCAGCCCCTCGTGAACCACCGGCACTGACGCAGATCGGCCCTCGCTGCCCCGCCGGGCTCGAGGTCTTCCAGGTAGACGTAACAGATGGACGCCCCGCGGTACCAGGCGAACATGGAGTTGATGGCCTCGGAGAGCTCGGCGCTGCTCTTCTTGTCGATGCAGTTGGTGTCGACCCAGACGTGGCTGATGCCCTCCTGACGGGCGATGCGGCACGTGTTTGCAATCTTTTGGAACCCGCGCTTGGAGTTTATGCGCTTGCGGGAGCCGAGGTCGTCTTCTTGCCATAGCAGCCACTCTTGAAAAGTGACCTCTTCGGGGCCCCAGGTATGTGAGAGGATGGCGTATTTAGGGAGATCCGAGTCGAAGAAGTCTTCGAGTTGTAGTGTTGAGGTATTGATTAGCCTCATGGCGAGTTGGTCATATATACATCGATTGGCGATAAAGTCCCTGACATCTGGAAAGGCTTGTTGCGCAGTGGCTCCGTTGCTGATGTGAGAGAAGCGTTTGAGCCGCGGCTGCTCACTCTTGAGGACGTATCCAATAGCGTGAGGCTACCTAGGTTGCATGCATGTCTGGCCAATCAACGTCAGCATGATCATGATGCCAGGGGTAATCTTGAATTGGGTGCAACTCAATCTGGCACTGCTCAAGATCTTGATCTGGTGTTACGCGATGAACCAGATGAATGCAGTATGGATCCTAGTGCAGTTAGGAAGAGTTGGCGCAGTGCAAGTATGAGATAGCTCGCTTCGAAAAACCAAATGAATAAAGTTTTGCTTGTTGGTACAATTTACAGTGGTAATGCTGACAGAGTTATACATGATGATTAAACAGACGCAATACTCGACTACCGAGCATCTGGTGGTTGCGGTGCGTCCTTTGGGGGCGGCGGAGGAGCTGCTGCTTTTGCCGCGCGAAGCTCCACAATCTTTTCGTCAATGAGAGCGATCTCGGCGTCTATCCTGAGCATCTTTTCATCAATCATGTCGCGGTAATCGTCGTCTGAGAGCTTCTTCAGAGGGCTCCAACTTGATTCGAAGATGCTCTTCTTCTTTTCCGTGACCTCAGGCCGGCCTTGCGACGCGTTCACAAAGGCCTGACCCGTTCCTCCGATGAGGGAGAAAACAATGACTCCGGGGATGATGTTTTTCGGACCACCTAATGAGCGCGTTAGAGACTTTCGATATCTCAGGAAGAAAGGGATGCTCACGAATCAGTCCTCCGACCATTCCTGCTGTGCCTCCCGCAAGGGCACTTGCTTGAATCTTGGATGAGTTGGAGAGCTTCTCTTCGCCGCCCCACGCGGCCATCACCACAGATCTCGACACTACGATGAAACATTCAGCACGCCCTCATGAAATATGTGAGGATTGCGGCAACATACGCCAGTAACTTGAACCGAGGGCGAACCACTGGATGCCAGATGCTACCGCGAACAGAGCTGGTGTGGAATCCCGGATAATGCCGGCTGCAATGCCACTGAACACACCGATGGTACCTGTTGGAGATGTTAGCCATAGAACTGCAACCTGAATCGAGACAGACAGCCCTCAGATTATCAATCTGATGAGGTTGTATCTCCGATGTCTTCACTTACCAGTCATGGCGCCAACTTTCAGGGGCGGACCCAAGAGGTCGACCAAACCTGGTGGCAGCAAACCTCGAGGCTGCCGCCTTGGTCTGGGCTCCTCTGTGCCATCCCTCCTCGCCTCATCTGACATGATGAAGGACTAAAAGATTGGGTTGCAACAAAAGCAGAGATGACGATCAGCTGGCTTACAGTCGATGGGCCCGATCAGATATGTCGGTTGTTCTGGAAGCTTTGGGCAAGGGTGCAATACATGCATTAAACGGGGGAGTACTAATCAAGCGAGTTGGCGACGTTGTTCAAATGTTTCGTGCGGCTCAAAACGAGAATGGACCGTGCAGACCCGATAGATGCAAGAAAGGCGGGGGTGATTGTCAACTGCAGGCGCACATCATTCACTTTTTTTTCTCCTTCCAGGTTGATGATCTCAAGCTTGTACCTTGTATACGTACTTTCGTACCTTAGCTAAGGAACCTTTAACTTACCTAAGGTGCTGAGGTACCAACAGCAGTAAACACTGAAGGGGCCACCAGTGGCACATCACAGCACAGCTAAGCACAGGGCGGTGGGCAGGGGAAATGATGAATGGGCTGGTACTGCACGGGAGGGATGGAGGGGGAAACACAGGCGGGAAAAACGCTGAGGCCTCAAGGCTCACCCCGCTGAAGTCACTGGAAGCACTGGGCTCAAAAAGAAGGGAAAAAACAGCTGTGAGCCCCTCTTTCATTATGGGAATTGTTCAATCACGGGTTTTCCCGGTGGTCCTGGCCCGTGCGTCTTTGGCGGGGCGCTAGGTTGAAAAAGTAAGCTAAGCCGCGGCGGGGCTAGTGCCTCCCACTCCTGGCCACCTCGAGAAAATTGTCCAACCCTCACAAACTTTCAATCACCCTCTGCCTCTCTGCTGCGCGGGTAAAACTTCGACCCTTTCCTCCCCCCCCAAAAGACCACCAGCCCCAGCAAATCACCGCAAGCTGGGTCGTTTTTCACAAAAGTCTACTACGTCTCCGATACCCTCTGACGTATCGTCTAAAAAAGACCTCTTCCATCTCCGGTGTCAAGAGATATCCCTTTCCTTAGGCGACGTCTCCCTACCCCACGACACTGCGAAATATCCCTCGGACATTTCCAATCCTCTCCGCACCAACACTCCCACCAAACCCGCATCTTCAACCAACAGCCGCACCGTTCGGCTCTTACTACAAACTCCCCGCATCGCGCATCGAACATAGTCGACGCGCGAAGCCGTCTCAACACCGCAATCATGGGTTCGTCTTACCCTGCTCGCTGTCGCAAGCTGCTGCGACGTCCCTAGCCCGTACCAAGACTAACTGTGTCATTATAGCGCCCAAGAAGAAGGAGCAGGTCAAGATGGCCCTTGGCGACTTCCTGCAGGACTCCAGTCAGTCGCACCCCCTCCGATACCTCCCTATACAAACGCTCCCTCGACAACTGCCACCGCCCACTTCATCTCTTGCTCGACTATCGGATTAGTACATCATCGACTGACACTTTATATAGGCTACGGCGGATCATGGGCTGATGAGGTCGAGGATACGTACAGTAAGTTGATGCTGTCTCAGAAACCACTTATCGGAAGAGAATGCTAACACCTTGTAGCCGGTATGCCACACTTCCACGAGCCAGCCTGGCGCCGCATGCATTCGGTTTCTTGCCCACTGACATCTTCACAGGCACTCAGGCTCTCCCCGCTCCCGAGCGCGCTGGCTACCGTCCCAGCCAAGGTGGCTGGGGTAGCGGCGGCGGTGACCGTGGTGACCGTCCCGAGCGCAGTAAGTCTATCTCGAATAGTTGGAAATGAGAGACAACTCTAATCAGTGTACAGGAGACTACGGTGGTTACTCTTCCATCCGCGAGAACCTTCCCCAGCAGCTCCCCGAGAGACCCCCCTACACCGCCCACCTTGGCAACCTGTCCTACGATGCCACCGAGGAGACCGTCAACGAGTTCTTCGAGGGCTGTGACATCATCAGCGTCCGTATTATCGAGGACCGCGAGCAGCAGCGCCCCAAGGGCTTCGCCTACGCCGAGTTCAAGGATCTCGAGGGACTGAAGCAGGCTTTGACTCTGGATGGCCAGACTTTCCAGGGACGTGCTATCAGAATCAAGGTTGCCGATCCTCGTGAGTACATATCCAGAAGCCATCCTCAAGCTGACTGCTGACATATTTTACAGCCCGTGGCGGTAACCGTGACGGCGAATCCAACCGCGACTTCAGCGACTGGTCCCGCAAGGGTCCCCTGCCCGACTTGCCTGGACGTGGTGGAAACGATCGTCGCCCCTCCGACTTTGGCGAGCGCCGTGGCCCCCGTGAGCCTCGCGAGCCCCGTGAGGACGACGGAAAGGTCCGCGACTTTGGCAACTGGGAGCGCAGAGGCCCCCTTTCCCCCGTTGCTCCCAAGGAGGGCTCTGGCTCCCGCGATGGCAGCCGTCCCCGTACCAACGATGGACCCCGCGAGTTCCGCGACCGCCGCCAGTCCCCCGCCGCCTGGGGTGAGGGTCAGGGACCCCGCCAGGACTCTCGTCCTCCCCGCCCGGAGAGAGTCCCCACTGCCGCCGAGACCGACAGCCAGTGGAGAACCAAGATGCGCCCCGATGCTGCCCAGTCCCGCGACGGCAGCGAGGCGCCTTCGTCCCCTTCAGCCGCCCCCGCCGCTCCCGTCGGCCGTCCCAAGTTGAACTTGGCGAAGCGCACTGTTTCCGAGGCTCCCGACGTCACGTCTCCCTCCGGAACTGACTCCAAGGCCAGCCCCTTCGGTGCTGCCCGTCCCATCGACACTGCCGCGAAGGAGCGCCTGATTGAGGAGAAGAAGCAGCAACAGGCCAAGGAGAAGCGCGAGGCCGAGGAGAAGGCCAAGGAGGAGCGTCGCCTTGCCAAGGAGGCCGCTGCTAAGGAAGCCGAGGAGAAGGCCGAGCAAGAGGCCGCTGCCAAGGAGAAGGCTGAGAAGGAGGCCGCTGAGGCTCCCAAGGAGGAGGTCGCCCAGGACACTGCTGCTGACAAGGAGAACGGCACATCTGAGGAGCAGAAGATTCCCGTCAGAGCCAAGGAGACAAGAGAGCCCAAGGAGGCCCCCAAGTCTCGCGCTGCTGAGGCCAACAGCTGGAGATCATCTGGCGCCTCTCGTGGTGCCCCTACCGGACCCAGAGGTGGACGTGGTGGACCCCGTGGTGGTGGCCGATTCGAGGGAGGCCGCCCTCCTCGTTCCAACGGCCCTGCCGAGAAGCAGGCTCCGGCTGCCGCTGGCAGTGAGTCTGGCGATGCTGCCCCCGTGGAGGACGATGGTTGGACCACGGTCCCCAACAAGGGCCGTCGCAATGTTGGACCCCGTGGCACTGCCTAGGAGGTGGGCGTGCACAGTCCGTTCATCCTTCAGCGTCCGGTTGGACCCAGTGCGGTCAAGGCCGCAGTTGAGTCGGCAATTATCGCCGAGAAGATGCTCCCACGTGTCTGCTTGCGGGGCCTAGACGATATATCTCGTCATCACATATACCCAGACGACTCCGAATACGATTCTGACGAACGACTTTACGCCACGAACCGCTTACTTGGGGCTTGAAGGGCATGGATTCTCTATTTCGATACTTTGCTTTTCGACACGACATTAACTGGCTCACTATGGATCTGCTGAAGGAATCAAAAACTTTCCTTTTTTACTCAGCACCCTCTGCGGTCTTTGGCTCAGGTGGCTTGCCATCATCCCAGGGCAAGATAGGTCTCCTCGGCTCAACGACTAGAGAAGGCGCGCACTTTCGCACGCATTCATCGGAGTTTGCGAAGTGGTTACTAAAAAAAGGGCTCATGGAAGTTGGAAGAAAAAGGGGGCTCATGACCATGCTGTTTTTTATTATTCTCGCTCACTTTTCCTTTGTTTCCTCTCTCCTCTACTGTGTCCCTGGGACCCTTCATTGCCCAAGGGGTCCTTGGGGATCCAGCGAAGTAACAGTCCTACCTACCATACCGGTCCGCCAGGATTCAACTCAGCTCTTAGTCACAACAAGGAGCTTCAAAGGAATCCAAACACAAAAATTCTCAACCAAAGTTCTACTTACTCTTTTCCCTCCTCTTTCTCCCCTCCTTGTTTTGCGTGCAACGATAGATGATTCATTCGCCCTGAGTTATGAAATTCCTCCTCCAGACGGATGGCTTGTTCATGTTTCTTTATGATTATTCACGCTCGTAAACCCACGTTCTGTTCTTCCTTTCTCCCGCTCCTCTCCGCATCTTGCTACCACATTGCCCTTCGATACCAAAAATGATGGCGAGCTGGGCTCTTTTGGGTTCTTTTCTTCTTTTTGCTACCAAGGGGTGGTGTGTGATGGTTTAAAATGGAACGTATGATGGGTCTGACGATTGAAATGGCTTTGAGTGTGTGTGAAGAAGAAATTAAATTCTTCCCTTCTCAACTTAGTGAGGTACTAGGATGGAGCAAAATAGATGCTAGGCTAAGAGAATCGAAATGCAGAAGTATACAATATGTGATTGTTTCTCTAGTCGTGGTTGTAGGTGTGTGTCAGCGGTAGATTATCACGATGTTTGCTGCTGTCTTGATCGGTGAGTTGATGCCTGATTACAAGACACTCATTCTGAGGGGGCCGACGGAGAGCGAGGAATTTCACAAGAATAAGCAGGTATGGTTGAAAAAAAAAGTGAGTGACAAGCATTTTATATCCTTTTCCCCCCCAATTATTCGAACGCTAGCTACCTCTACCAAAACCAATTTCAATGCTATACCATCAACCACATTCCCCGAACCCACAACAAACACTCTTCACCTCTTGAGAGTCTTCTGCTTCTCCGCATCCCTAGCAACATTCCTACCCTCCACCAACAACCCCTTCTTCCTCCTCACACCATCCATGTACCTCTTGGCCACATTCTCCTTATCCGCCAACTCGCCCAAATCCTCCAAATCGTCCTCGGTAAACGGCACCCAAAACGGGTCCTGGTCAAGCACCTCGTACCCCGCAAAAATAAGCTGCGGCTGCGCGGCGCCCGACGTGCGTTTCCGCATCTCGTCCGCGAAGCCAAACGACTCGGCCACCGGCAGCACAGAGTTGATGCTGAAGAAAGGTGTACCCTCCTTCATCGCCTCGGAGAGGACGCGGCCGCGGCGGCGGGTGAGCACGTCGTAGACGCGGCCTAGGACTTCCGTCGAGGCTTGGATTTCGACGGTGTACATTGCGAGCATCAGGCGCGGGGACCAGTCGAGCATGCCGGAGCGGAGGGAGGACGTGAAGGTCTTGATGATTTCGCCCGTTAGGCGGGGGAGGCGGTCGCGGGCGGAGGATTCGTCTTCGGTGGGGTTGATGACGACGTCTTCGAGGAAGACGGCGATGCCGCGGACGGGTTCGTGGCAGAGGGGGCCCTGGGCCGTGGCGAGCTGGAAGGCGTAGGGGATCTTGTCGGCTACGTGGGCCGGGTGGAGGGCTTCGTCTGCTTGGGGTGCTGCTGAGCCGTCGCGTTCCGAGGAGGCTGATTGGGAGAAGAGCTTTGCGAGGAGGCCTTCTTTTGTGGCGTCGATGAGGATGTTGGGGCCGGTGCGGCGGGGGCCAAAGGCGGCGATGCGGTCGATGGCGGATTTGAAGTGTTCGCGGCCGCCGCGGGAGGACTCGAGGGCGGATTGGAGGCCGGTTTTGAAGTCGTCGAGGGACATTGTCTTTGCGGCTGTCAGGTCTGTGTCGACGTCGATCTTTTCTTCGCCGGGGGCGGTGGCGCCTGTGCCTTCGGTGCCCTGGGCTTCTTCGGCTGTAGTGTTGTTGGCGGCAGGTGTGCGATCAGAGTACATGCGTTTGATGACGTCGCCGTTCTTGAGGAGGAAGTCCGTGGCGTCGGATGGCAGAGGACGGACCTGGAGGCGGATTGAGACCTGCTTGGAGGAGGTGGTGCCGACGACGACGCCGCGGCCGAGGTCCTTGTTCGCGGGGGGGCGCATCTCCTCGGCGCGAACAATGGTCTCGCGGTAGGGAACGATGGGGGCGCCGGCCTGGATGTCGCAGCGGGCGAAGCGCTCCTTGAGATCCGTGAGACAGCGCTCAAGGTGCAGCTCGCCGGCGGTAAGGAGGACGTGCTCGCCGCTGCTGAACTGCTCGTACTCTGCGCAGGGGTCGGACTGGACGAGGAGGCGGAGGCCGTGGATCATCTTGTCGAGGTCGGCTGGGTTGACGGGCTCGAGGGCGACGCGGACGATGGGTTTGCCCAATGTGCCCGCCACGCCGGCGAGGTTGACGGCGCCATCGAGGCGGCTGCAGAGAGTGCCATTCTTGAGGAGGTGGCCCTCGAGGCCGCCGATGCCGAAGACGACGCCTGCCGGGACGGAGTCGAGGGACTCGAGGTTGCGGCCCATGAGCATGTAGAGCGCCGTGACGGTGACTTGCTTCGGCGAGGGCTGAGCATTGGGGTTGGCGGGAGACCATTTGGGAGGGATGACCCAGAGGCTGTCGCCGACGGAGAGGGTGCCTGAGTACATGCGCGCGAAGCCGATGAGGTGTTCGGGGTCGACTTCTTTCTCTTCGTGCTCAGGAGCGTAGCCGTCCAGGTTGACCTCCTCGAGCGCCGTCGTAAGGTCGTTGATTCCGTTTCCGCTGGAAGGTGCCGCGGCTTGGGCGCGAGCCGCTTCTGCTCTCTTCTTACGGGCGAGTTCTCTCGCCTCGTCGGCGGTCAACTGGCCTGGCTTACGCTTGTTGTGGGGAAGTTCGCTTTCGGGGACAGAAACCATTTTGCTGACGTAGGCCACAACAGGGTCCGACGGGCCGGTCTTGAAGGAGATCATGGCGTTCTTGATCTCTTCGTTGATGGCATCTGAGCCGGGGACGTCTTCCAGCATCTCGGGCAGTCTCTCCGCTTGCGCAACGGGCGGTGATGGCAGTGACTCGATGACGGAAACCAGCATAGCTGTCGAGAGCGGCAGCCAGGACGCAAAGACTGTGGTCAGGAGCAGGCGGGGGTCTCGGGAGCGCATGATGTGTGGCGGGATCGTCAGCCCGAGGGACTTTGTAATCTTCTCCAGCAACGCGGGGTCGCCTCTGTTGTTGTCGCCGCCGACGGTGGCTTGGTAGACGGTCCAGATAGGCTCCAGCACCAGCTGCACAAACATGGGCTTTAGGTTTCTCCCCTTGAGATGCTTCTGGCCCAGAATCTTCTTGGTCTTAGGGTCGAGATAGAAGCTACCCCATAGCACCTTTTCCATGACATCTCTCTTGATGCCGAGCTTCTTTTGGTATAAGCCGGCAAACTGGCGCACTGTAAATGCCCAACCGTCAATGGCGCTGCTGAAAATGACGTTGTTCTTCTCCGGCGCGAAGTAGAGATCCTCGTCATCGCGCTCCTCAAACTGCAGCTCGCCAGACTCGGTCATGGAATCCGGGCCAGCCTCCTTGGCAGCCGCCGCCTGAACGCGCTCCTCCATCCGCTCGCGCCAGTTGAGATCCTCCTCCATACGCTCGCCCTGGAAGAAACTTCCCAACACGGCGTTGACCTGCTCGAGGATCTTGCTGAGATGAGTGTAGGCCTCGGCAGGCGTCATCTTGAGCTCGGTAATGAGTCGGTCAATCTTGTTGATGACGAGCAAGGGCTTGAGCTTCTCGGTCCACGTCTGGCGCAGGACGGTCACGGTCTGACTACACACGCCCTCGACGGCGTCGACGAGCACGACGGCGCCGTCGCACAGGCGTGAGGCGGTGGAGACCTCGCTGCTAAAGTCAATGTGGCCGGGCGAGTCGATGAGGTTGATGAGGTACTCCTTGGCTTCGGGCTCGGCGTCGGGTGCGGATCTCCTCAGCATGGAGAAGTAGAGGGAGATGGCAGAGGATTCCATAGTGATGCCTCGGAGCTGCTCATCAGGTCTGGAGTCGAGGTACCGAATCTTGCCGGCGAGTTTGGGTGAGATGATGCCGTTTGTTGCCAATAGGGCGTCTGTCAGTGATGTTTTGCCATGATCAACGTGGGCCAGGATGCAAATCTGGTCGCGGTCAGTCACTGAGAGATTTGAGTGATGATCAGATGATAACTTACGTTGCGCACATCCACGGCATGCCTTTGCAGGCTAGCCAGCTTGTCGGGAGTTACAACAGGCATGATGGGAGGATATGTGGTGGAGGAAGAGTGGTAGAAGAGGGGTTCAAGGGGGTATCAAAAGGTCTATGGACAGAAAGCAATGCCGGATGAAAGAAGCAGAGTGAATGAGAAAGCAGGTCTGAGGGTCTGTGTGATGCCTCCCTCCCTTGGCTGGTATATGAAAGCCAGTGCTGCGCTGCTGAGTATCGTTTTTTGCCCGAGGCAGATGATATCGTTATTGACTGGGGGGTTTTTGGCAGAAGTAGCGAGTACCTGAGTGAGTTGATGATGATGATTCGGCGACTAAAATGGCCCTGGTCTGTGACTAATAGGCCGACCCAAACTGGGAGTTCAGGTCAGAAGCAGGACGAAAAAGACGACTCTGATTCGCCACCCTGCTGTAAGAAGTTTTGCAGGCACGATGGTAACTCTGACTCTTGTCCTTGGTATTACCTGAGACTGAGTGTGTATTGGGAGATTGATATTATCCCAAAGAAGATGAGGTGGATGCACTGAGCAAACTGGCGCAGTGATGAGTAATGTTGTATAGCGTGTGTGTCTATGCAACTCTTTTCCTTCCTTCGTCTCTTGGGGAAGGGGGGGGGGATGTCCTCCAGGGCAGGCACAGGCAACGTTGGAATTACCTCAGCGGACTAACCCCGCCAAAAAATACATTCAACCCCTCCAACGACGCATCGCCCGTGGAAAAAAAAGAAAAACAAGGTCACCAGAACCCCTCTACAGCCGTATAGTTGCATTGACCCCGTTACCTACAACCCACGGCTGGCCATCGGCTTCATCCCCACACATCGTTCTACCGAGGGTGCAACAAACCCTAACTCGCCAAAAATTCACTGGCCCCTCTCTCCCAAACCCAAACGGTGCCTGCGATAACCTCAGCAAAAGCCCCCGCGGGATTAGCCAGCGAAAAGGAAATTTTCGACTCGTCCGCCCGAAAACCCCACACCTCTCGAGCGAACCCCCTCCGAACCCGACCGCCCATCTGTCCTCCCAACTCCCCCCTTCGAAGGTTGAAGACATCGCCAACTTTTCGCGCGCCCTTCCTCTTTCGGAACCCTTTGTCAATTTTTCTTATTTTTCAATTTCTATTCCTAACACATCTTTCGTGTGGGAATAGTCTTGACCGAAAAATCCACCACCCACCATGAGCGGCTACCAAAACGGAGAGCGGCCCGTCCGCGTCGACGACGACAGCGACGTCGAGGAGGAGGCCCTCGTCAACGACTACAAGGAGCAGGTCCAGTATGAGGACAACATTGGCGAGGACCTCGAGCAGGTCAACTCCCTGACCATGGCCCAGCAGACCGACGACATCCAGTCGCGCCTCGCCGCCGCCGCCCAGCCCCTCGACTTCTCCGCGCCCCTCGAGGTCAAGTTCCAGAGCTACGACTCCTACTGCAGCCTGTTCCACTTCATCCTCAACAGCGAGGGTCCTGTCGACCTCGAGCCCCCCTCGGTAAGCTTCCACTGACATGCACCGTGTCCCTTGCCGTCGCGATAGCATTACCACACGTGGACCAGGGAAGCTAACATGTCTTCAAATAGTACTACTGGGCCTGGGACGTCATCGACGAGTTCATCTACCAGTTCAACTCCTTCTCGTCCTACCGCATGCGCATCGCCCGCCAGGGCAACAACGAGGAGGAGATGCAGGTCCTCAAGGAGAACCCAAACACCTGGGGCTGCTACTCGGTCCTCAACGTCCTCTACTCCCTCATCCAGCGCTCCCAAATCACCGAGCAGCTGGCCGCCATGCGCCGCAACGAGGACCCCATGGCCGTCGCGGGCGAGTACGGCTCCAAGAACCTCTACCGCATGCTGGGCTACTTCTCCATCATCGGCCTCCTCCGCGTCCACTGCCTCCTCGGCGACTTCAGCCTCGCCCTCAAGACCCTCGACGACATTGAGCTCAACAAGAAGGCCATGTTCGCCCGCGTCATGGCCGCCCACTTCACCACCTACTACTACGTCGGCTTCTCCTACATGATGATGCACCGCTACGCCGACGCCATCAAGATGTTCTCCCACATCCTCGTCTACGTCTCCCGCACAAAGAACTTCCAAAAGAACGCCCAGTACGACTCCATCACCAAGAAGAACGACCAGATGTACGCCCTCATCGCCATCTGCGTCGCCTTCCACCCCACCCGCCTCGACGACACCATCCACTCCGCCCTCCGCGAGAAGTACGGCGACCAGCTCCTCAAGCTCCAGCGCGGCGGCCCCGAGTCCCTCCCCATCTTCGAGGAGCTCTTCCGCTCCGCCTGCCCCAAGTTCATCTCCCCCGTGCCCCCAGACTTTGAGAACCCTGAGTCCAACATCGACCCCGTCGAGCACCACCTCGCCGTCTTCATGGAGGAGGTCAAGATCAACATGATGAGCCCCACCGTCAAGTCCTACCTCCGCCTCTACACCACCATGGACCTCAACAAGCTGGCCGGCTTCCTCGAGGTCAAGCCCGATGAGCTCCGCTCCTGGCTCCTCGTCAACAAGCAGCGCACCAAGCAGTTGCGCTGGACCGACCACCCCAGCCTGTTGGACGGCGACCTCATCAACGTCAGCGACCTGGACTACGCTATGCAGGGTGTAAGTAATTCCGAGAAACTGCAGCTTCCAATACGAGCTGCTTGTTGTCATAATAATATGCTAATCATTACACTATAGGATCTGATCCACATCTCGGAAGCCAAGGTTGGCCGCAAGCTGGTCGACTGGTACCTCCGCAACCTGTCCCGCACGTACGCTTGAGCGATCGTAAAGGATACGCTTCGGGCCCTATAAAACCAGCAAGGCAAAATGGACAACCAGCTGGCCGAGAGGAGGACAAAAGGAAACGGGCTGGTGGTAGCAAACTACCAGGCGGGGGGTGTTTGTGTGCATGTTGGCAAAATGGCAATATGCGAATGCGTGTAGTTACCAGGAATCTGCCAACGAGAGGTGGTGGAAACTCCCACCCTCATCCACTTGACGTTACCTGTGGATTCGAGGTCGGAGGGTGTGACGAGGATGAGAAAAAGACAAAAGGGCAGAGAGAAGTGGCCAAAAAAGCACTTGGGAAGAAATGGGAGGGCCCGATAGAGGGATGCTCGCATTGTTATGGCGTTCAGGCGTCTTTGCTTCCTGGAACACCTGGACCTGGTTGGCTGGGCGGGATGAAGTGAACCAAGGGGAATAATTAGAATTCAAAGTACAAACGTCCATCTGAAGCTCTTCGTGGTCAGTGTACTCGCGACAGCAGCCCGTGTGCTAACGGACCCAAAGTCGGTAGCAGATGACCCAAATAACATAGTCAAATTACTAGGACTTCTCCCCGTTGAAGGGAGTCAGGTCAGCCAGTGTCATTGAGATCCGAACCGCTCAGTTCATCGCTCGGTAGTTAAAGGCAGGGTTCCCTAGCATATATATAGTGATGACAGCAACAAGAACTCTTCAATATGCACCGGTTCTCTTGACAAGTATCGAGACGCTGCGGATATGCAAAGTTGATAATCATCATTTTCAATATTTCCCGCGATACGCCTGCAGCACCTGTCCGCTTCCCCGCTAGGCTTGCGAGAGTCAAACCTGATAGGAAGCCGGACAAGGTGTATGCCAAGGGCAGGTTGTCCGGGGAAGGTTGCAACGTTGCCCGCACAAAACTGGTCGGCGGAAACCACTATCGAGAGGAATCTCTTTGCCGAAGTGGAGTAAATTTTTCAAAACGCGATTGGGGCAGCATACTATAGTACTTGCCTCAGAGGCATGATAGGGCAGTAGTCGATGACACGGTGCTGGCGGAAAGTGAAAAGCATGAGGCCATGAGAAGGCCTCATGGCTCATGGCGCGCATCGAAAACGAGATATGGTTGCTCAATCAAACTGAAGCGACCGATAGATACCCCTCCCCTCCCGAGGAAAGGATACCTCAACGATGATGCTCAGATGTGATGAAAAGCACTCTGAGCGGAGCCTGCCGGGGAGTACAGTCCAATCTAGGTAGTACCTCCGTACCGAAGCCGCGTCGGTAGACCGGGGAAATTATCGGTCGGGACGGGGACGGGATGGTCCGCAAGGAAACTGGAGCTTGATTCCCGTTTTCCTAGTGGCTGGTAGTCAAGCATGTGCCACCTACTAGAGCTAGACGTTTAATCTTGGACGGTGTCTCACGTTATTTCTCCCTAGCTGCCCTAAACTTGTGCTCTTGTGTCTTGGTTGTGTCCTCTGCGAGTCAGACTTCGCCCTGTGTGCGTGCTTGTACGGGTGTGGGTGCGTGATGCTGGCTGTCCTAGGGTTGCCAAGATTGTTGGGGTCGTACGGATGTGAGTCCGGAGCAGCGAGTAGTTGGGATCACGAGTCGCGCTTGACGTCGTCTTTTTGGACCGTCTTGCAGCAACCTCCGAACCAGTGACTGGGATACTGGGACAAACGGGCAAGAGAACATGGAAGACAAACGTTTGGAGCTCGGTTATTGCAGGCCGATCGGCATGCATGTCAGTCAGTACGCAGCATTACGTTTGAACTTACGCAAGCAATCGTGGAATTCTGCGTGGGTTTCTGCGATGAGGTTGCCAAAGTGTACGCTCAATGGGCTTGGCCGGCATGAGGCGCTCTGCCTGGTTGGTATCGGTTGAACGTCAGATAGGGATGCTGCACAACGCAAGCAGGACGCCGTGCTGGACGACATGTTTCATTGCGGCATGCGTGCCGTCGCAAGACATTGGCATTTGCCGCAGGCAAGCGATCCTGTCAGACCTTACAATCAATCCAATGTAGGTTAATATCGGCATGCGACAACGCAGGATATCGAGACGCATCGACAAATTCAGGACATTGAGCTGCCTCTGGCGAGCTGTTGGAAAGCCGTTATCTCTCGGAATTTCCGGTTGATTCCTCCGTTGACCGACGGCGATGTCAGCGGGAGCATGCCGTGTTTTCGACCTTACTAGATGGTCCATGGCCTCCGTGCCGTGCAACATTGACGAGTTGATATTTGATAGATAGCGAGCATACGCCTTCCCCTGCCTGCCCCGTGGCTTGACATGGTGATTTGGCTGGTCCATCAGCTCGCGCCAGATAGGGGACCTTGCCTGTCTGCTTCGGTGAGACTGCAGGTTGCATATGGCGATTCCTGTTTCAGCGGGGACCATGTCGGTGAGAAGTGGTACGGATACGTGAACAAGAGCGGAGAGACTATCGATTTCAAGGCCAAACCGCAAAAGCAACACCGGAAGATCGGGACGGAATTCTGGGCGGGAGAATGGGCTGCGAATGGCATCATTGCAGCCTGCAATGGGTGCCGAATGGCGTGGAAAGGCAAAATAGTGGACATTGTCTTCGTTTCGCCTTGGCATGGGCTCCCTCTTTTCCCGACCGCTTGTGCCTGCCGGCTTGGTGTCTTGGGAGTGCATCCCCTTTTGTTCTCTATTTCCTTCCCAAGGCTTGCGTCGTTGTCTCGTCTGCAGCGTGTATCCGCAGTGTGGTCTAGCCGACCCCTCAAATTGTATCCCTGCGACCAAGACGGCTTCCTGCGACATTGATGGGTCCTGGCCAAGAGATTTGAGCGCCGAAAGAGAGTTTACGGGAATGAGCCGCTGTCCCCATTTCCAATACGGGATCGAGCCAGGCGTCGGACTAATAATTTGGACTATCTGACAAACGTGGACGAGAAACGAAAAGGTCGCGGAAGAAAGGCAAAGAGATACGGTTGGCTTGGCTATCGCTTGGCGCCTGGTTGGGCACGAAGTGTGGATTGAATTGGATGGGTCGAATCATTCTCAAGTCGCAGACCGGGGCCCAGAGACGAAGCATGCCATCTCATTAACGAGAAGAAATGAGAAGAAGCAAGGTTCGCAGGCGAGTTAGCAGCTTGGAGCGCCGCGCGCACACCGACTCGAATGCTTGTTCTGATTCTCTTCTTTCGCTTTTGCCAGGAATCGTGGCAAGAATCAAGATTGGCCGACATGCCTTAGTGGTTTGCCAAGAGCTTGTTGGAGGTGGACGAGTGGCCGAGAGGGCGGGAGAGAGGGGTGAAGTTGCAAAGAGTCGAGTGAAGGCGGCGAAGGCTACAGTCTTAGCACACGGGGGGCCGGCTGGGCAGACGTGAGAGTGCATCGACGGCGATGAAGGAAGCGTATGATTTTTGGTTCCGTTGCTTGGTACGAATCAACCCGTAATCGACGGGGCATCTGCAGACTGAACTTGTAGGATGTTGCTGCCGGAGCTGATAGAGAGGATTGATGAGCACACTTGGAAACCACCGCCAGATGTGTTAGATAGCTTGGCGCATTACCTTCAGCTATCGTTTGGCGCCATCCCCGTTGGTGGGATTCTTGGACTTTTAGAGGGTTGTGACACGGAGGCGTGGTATGATTTGAACATGACGGAGGCAATGATGAGCTTTGCGTATGGAGGAGGTAGTGAGTACAGCCGTAGACTTCGTTCCCAAAAAATTGCTCCCTGATCCCGAGGCCAGGCACCGCAGGGGATCGAGACGTATGTAGGTAGTGCTGGTCGAATAAGAAGTCTGGCTTTCCATCCGACTATAGCACGTCAGAATGTCTGGTTAGGACTATCATGGTGTATGGAAAGTCTAGACGCAGATGATGCACACCCACCGGCTGCGAGCGAGAGGAAATGTCAAGTCGTGTTACTGCAGGTCATGACAGCGACGGACGGGCAGACGGCGAGCAGTAATGTGGCAAGAGGGCGCAAACAGCGGCGGCGGCCAGTTCGTCTGTTCAAGATGGGATATTCGTAGAGGCGAGTCATCCAGAGTCTGTCTCGTTGAGTTTGTGCTGGACGGTATTGGAGGGAGAGTCTCTGGTGGATAGGGACTACTGTACAGAGTAAGCCGTAGTGACATACCTTGGGAGACAGGGAGCCTACGGAGTACTGTGTAAGAGTCAAGACAGCTAGTAGGGATGGGCGTTACGGCGGGTGCTTGGAAAGGGGAGCCGAGAAGCTTGAAAGCGAAGCTGGATGTCTTGATGTGTAATTAGAGCCAGCTCAGGCATTAGAGGCGCCGTGGAGCGGAGAGGATGATTGGGCTCGGTACTTGGGGTGGTCTTGGCGGGTTTGGGGTGGTGTTCCCAGGGTTATTTTGGGTCTGGTGGTGCTGATGCTTGCGCTTGTGCTTGTGCTGGTGTTGGAAGACGGAGTGATAGGAAGTCTCGGAGGCCGCGGTCTTGAGGCTGTCGTATTCCGTCCAAGGCATCTGTAGCCTGTCGTGGGGACGTGAATCTCGCAGTCTGATTACGAAGCAAAGGAATCGTCAGACGCCTGATGGTTGAAGAAGAGCAAGTCCATGTGGCATTACTAAGACAAGGTACCTTGTTAAGGCTTGCGATGATGCGAATGAGGGAAAAGGCATGCAATTTGACAGTTTGGCACTTTCCTACCTGCTATTAGAGACTCAGCCTGGGGAACCTGGCAACTGGGAAGGAACAAGATGCACCAGGGGCTCTTTCCAAGATGGATGGAAGCTGTAACCCATCGAGTTGACATCAGGTGCAGCAAGTGCAGCAGGTGCAGCGCTGATGCAGCTGGTGCCTGTGGGTGACCCTAGCTCCTGCCCTCTCCTTTTCCGAGGAAGGTTCAGCTGAGTGAGATGGGCATGCCGAGGAAGTCACGTCTCTGCCTTCTTTGCCATTCGTCCAAAGTACCTTTCTTCCTGCCTAACATGTCTAAAGTACCTACATCCATCAGCTCCTTCTATTCCCGTCTCTCGATCGTAGCAAATCAACCTTTATTGTATTTCAAGTACCTCAGTACGTATACATCTTCTCAGGCCAGACAGGCAGGAGCAACTGGAAGGTACCTCACTAGTAAACGTGAAAGGAAGGAAGACGTTGACCGTAAGTGTGAGAGTGAGAGAGGAGGGGTACATAACCCACCGGCAAATCTCGGTGCACACACAAGTCGCGACTCTCTCTGGGCCTGGGCCAACGGCATCAAACAAACTCGAAATCTCCAGCCATCTCATCCCTGCGCACTTGCACCGCATTGCACCAGCTTCCCGAGCCCCTCTCCTCCCCTCCTCCACCTTTCCGTCCAGCTGTATCCGTAGGTACATACTCCGTAGCTGTGGGTGTGAAAGCAGAAAGACTCAGATTCGACTCGAAGTGCCTCGCCTCTCCTCTCCGCCTGAAGTGTGCGCATTTACCTGGCCCACCGTCCACCATCTCAACCGCGAAAGAGAACCCCCAGCCGAGACGACCCTGGCCGACCAGGGTATCAACCATCGCCAACCCCTGTTTTTGGTGCCCATTGCTGCTCTTCTCCCTCCAAAACTCTCACTGGAGCTGTGCGTCACGCCGTCACCCTCTCGAGAATTTGCACAAGCTCGAGAGCTGCCTTGCCAGGACGTCTACGTCTGGAACACGGAAGAACAGAGCAAACACAACAAGCGGAGCGTCTCGCATCCAGGCCCAGACCGTACTTAGACCACTCCAGTCCTCCGCAACCTCGAGCCTCCTTCTTCTACCTTGCTCTACTCTCCGAATTGCTGCTACGAATATCGACAAGAGTACCTACCGATACCGTCTGTTTGTTCCGCCACAGCCCACGCATGCCCAGACTTTTCCAACCCCATTCCTGAGCTTCTTTTCCAGCTGCATTGTCTCATTCTCTGCCCATTCCACGCCAGTCTCAGTCTCAAGGATATACTTTGTCCACCCCCGCATCCAGCCGCCTGGACTGCAACGGGTCTACCAACTTCTCACGGATGCCTTACCGTTAGGTAGCTCTCTACCTACCTACTCGAGTCACCTCAAGCCCGCCGTCGTGTCCAGAGAGTCAGAGACCGAGATAAAGTCCTTCCTCGGCTTTCCCTCTACCGCTGCCACTCGCTAGCCAAGCTCTCAGCTCTGTTGCCCCGGCCGCTTTCCCGCCCCGTTTTCCACACACCTGAGCGGCGCCAGCAACAGCTGTCATCCTGGTCAACTAACAACATCACCTGCTCACCGACCCGGTCTGTCATCACTTAGACTCTAGACCCTCGACCCTCGACTCGTACCGGTCGCGCTACCGTCTACGCCACACCCCGTTCTTCGGCTTCCCATCCAACAACAACCACCATCCTCGCGCTTCCCTGTGCCTTGTGAGGCCCCGCAGGTCTTGGCGGAACCGCCTCCTACGCTGTGCTTCCTCGCCATAAGAGAGAGCTCCGTCTCTTCAAAGACCACGGCGTGCGGCCGCAAACATAACTTCCTTGGCATTGTTGGACACGCATATCATTTTGTCGGAACAGCTTTTTCGCCAATCCCCTCTTTGATTCCAGGAACGACCGATGAAGAAACACACAAACCTCAAACAACTCAACTAAGCATCATACGTACCCAGAGCCGAATCCTGTCATGAACAAGAGCTCATCCGATTTCCATCGATAAGGTCACCCTCACCACTTGCGCCTACATACCTACCTCTCCACGCATATTCGACGACAAGACGCTCTGACCTGACTGTCACCGGTCGACCTCCACGTTCCAACTATCAGTCGACAGACGCTCCTTTCCATTTTCAGACGCTGTGGTCAGTCCACCATCAGCCACTCACCTCGGCGCAAATCACCTCTTGATCTTCTACACATTGCTTTTTCGTCCCTTCCAAGACAGGCTCGTCGCACATATCCCGTCCGAGGCTTTGAGCGACTCTGTCCAACCCAGCGCATCTGCCCAATTCCTCCCCGCCGGGACGACTGCTTTGCCGCTGCGCTCATGCTGACATTGATTACACAGCAGCTGTACAGTCTTCAATGAAACCATCAGAAAATTGGCGTAGCGTATTCTTGCTTCCGCAAAGCACCAAAAAGAAAAAGAAGAATAGCAAAGGCAACTCTTCGCCATCTTCACCGAGACTTCACTTTCCAGAACTCCAGTGGGAGCCCAAGACAACGACGACTACGCCGACACCGACGACGACGGCAGAACGGCGGCACACCATGTCTGGGCCAACCCCTCGTTCGATGCTCAACGTCCAAAGCCCCGATTCCGATGTCTCGCCCAAGACTCCGTTACAACCCTCTGACCAGACAAAGACGGACTACTTCTCCATCGAGTCTTCGTCGCAGGCGCAGTCGCAAAAGAAAGACGAGGAAGCCAAGGCCAACGATGCAGAGCCATTGAGCCGTGCAACCACACTTTCGAGCATCGCCAGCCCTTCCCCCCTCGAAAGCGCAACAGGAAGCTTCTCTGCCGAGTCGTCGCGGACCGAATCGTATGGAGGAAGGCCGAGAGGATCATCAATAGCGTCGCTGAGCTTTGCACCATTGCGGAACCCGTCGCTGCCGCAGGGCAACCAGAAAAAGACGAATAAGGAGCGCATAAGGGCCTCATCGCCTCCACCTGAAAGGTAAGTGTATCATTTCCCGTTCGTATCGTTTGGCATATTTCATTGCCCCCATATTCGTGACCCCTTGACAATCCAGTGTTTGCAAGTGGCAGCTTTGGTCGTGAAGCTTTTTGGTTCGGTGTCTGTATCCGATGGCGTGGAGCTGGACAGATAGTATCTGGGTCAACTCGACGTAAATACGTTGGTGGCAGATGTACCTGGATCAGATGCAGTGTGGCTTAATGACCACCTTACTTATATGCTGCCGTTGGTTTCGCCTTACATGCGTGGATTCTGCAGTCCTCCACTAGTCCGGAAGCCTCGGATCAAGAGTTCAATGCGACGGCCACCCTCTCCGCAGCCATGCCGCAGTTCCGGCCGCTTCGCTCGCCCGTGGATTAACGACTCGTCGGCCGCAGCCGTCTTGGTCCCCACTCCGCTTCTCAGCTTCCGTCCCAAAGACAGTCTGCGCCTAGGATGCATGGGCATTGCCGTCGCTACTGAGGAAGCCCTCTCTGGGCGCCGACTCCAGCGTCAGAATCGGGATGGCGGGGTCGGACCAGTCGGCCAGCGGCGGCTTCGTACCTGTTATGGCACCCCATATTTTCCAGTTTCCGAATAATCCCGCCGGCGTCACTACACTGAGCATATACTGTCACCAACAGGCATCCCCGGAGCATTTCAACCTTGAGGTCAGACGAACTTTTCAAGCTTCCCGCGGCAACTCCAGCAAACGCCTATGTTTACTCTGACTCCATGTCGCGTTACGGTCCATATCTTGCCTCACTCATCGGGCTGCAATATGCCATCGGGAGGATCACACGACACTTCGTTGACGGCGACCTTGCCGGTTCTGGATGACGCATTGGTTACTGTTATTCGCTAGAGTCACTTGTCTTTGCCCCACTACCCCGCTGTAGCGCCTGTAGCTTGTTTCTTTACGGGTGTTCTTAGGTTCACAAAGAGAAGGGGAAATGGCGGAGGTGGGCGCTCATCGACTCATCCTCCACAGCCACCCTTAGCCTGGCGCAACCGTGACGTCCCCCGCAGGAGGACCTGACAGGAGGGAAAGCAGCTGTCATTGTCGCATTTCCGCTCAGTCCTTTTTCCTGGATCCCGGCTGCCTCTTACCAAATCGCAACTTCTCGACCCTTTTTCATTTCCACCCCTCTTGACTCTGACCAGTGGTCTCGTCGCTTTTCCACACTTCAACCCCAGATCCCAAAGTTTTCTTAGCACACTTCATCTCATCCGCCCTTCTGCGTCTCTTCGTTTACCAATTGCTCGAAACAACATTACCTAATGGCGACACTAACTCAACCCTCTTTGCCTGACAGGTTCCAGTCACATGTCGCATTCGACAACCTTCCTTTGGGCGAGGCGACTAAGAACAACACGCTCTCGCTGACATTGAATGTCCGTCACCGGGGGTACCAGGCGCAACGACGATCGCGCACCTTCATGGTCGGCGTCGACGAGCATGCTTACTCCGACTATGCGTTGCAGTGGCTACTCGACGAGCTAGTCGACGACGGAGATGAGGTCGTCTGTGTGCGCGTTATTGAGAAGGAGCTACGAGCCGCCGAAACGAACAAGATATACCAGGAAGAGGCGAAGAAGGTCATGGATGGCATCCTGAAGCGCAACGGCCTGAACCGAGCCATCAGTATTGTACTGGAGTACGCGAGTGGAAAACTTCATGCGACATTCCAGCGACTGGTGAGTAGAGAGACGTGACGCGGCATGCCTTGGCGCACGGCAGTGCACGGCAGTGGAGTAGGTGCTAATCATTATCATGTCCCAGATCCAAATTCACCAGCCCGCCATGCTCATTGTTGGCACGAGGGGCCGGTCGCTCGGCGGCCTCCAAGGCCTGGTTAATACGCGCAATTCCTTTTCAAAGTACTGTTTGCAGTACTCGCCTGTTCCTGTTGTCGTCGTCCGCCCGACAGAGAAGCGGGAGAAGAAGAAGAATAAGAGAAAGAACGATACGGAACGGCAGACATATGTCAGGATGCTGTCAGCGACAGGCGGAAAGCACGAGGCCGACAGCGAGAGAAGCAGCATGTATGAAGTGGAAGTTCACAACACGGCGGACGAAGAGGCACATCAAGTCGCCAAAGCGCTAGGATTGCCTGCGGCATTTGACCCGACTATCAAGCCAGTCGACCTCAATGCTCTTCTGCACCCGAGACACCAATCAGCGCCATCCAATCTCGCACAAACGAGTAGTGCGGGCACGGGTAGATCGTCCGCCCCGCCTAGTGCGGCGGGTGACAGCGATGAAGAAGATGACGATGATGAGGACGAGTTCGAGACGTTCTCTGGCGACCAGCTTATCAACTCGTCGCAGATGGATAAGCTCCACAAGATGGAGGCCAACGAGGCGGCAGCTCTTAAGCAACGAAAGTCGAGTTTGGACTCTAGCGCCAGTGGGGTAGATGATGACGAAGACGAGGAGTCCAAAGCCTCGCGACACAGCAGCAACAGCTGATACAGCAGCCCCATAGCTTCGAATGGAGAGGCAGGGAGGGTTACGAACTAGCATATGTGGGAATTAGACGGCGTTTGGTCGATAGCGTGGGCATTTTCAGTTTGCTGGGACGACATATCCCGTAGTTGTGGTGTGTGCGTGCGAAGACGGAGGGAAGTGTCAAGGGGGGGTTGTCTAGGTAGTCGGCGTAGTTGTTAACACCTCGTGCTCTGCATGGAGCCCGTGGATTGATACCCACAAGAGATGGAAATGATAAAAATTGGCCGAAATTCTATGGTATTATCCGTACAGCTTCTGATGATGTGGCGTACATGTTTTTGTGACAGCATCTGTTGTTCCAGGGGCTGCTGAGTCTTGAGTGAGTCTTTGCCCGGTGTCCATTGGCCGCTCCGTCGCATCTTGCGGGGCTGCTCTTGACGAAGGCGGGCGAGTTCCAAAGTTCCAGACTTTTGAGGTTCCAAAGTTTGACCAGGAGGTACAAAGTGTGGCGCAAAGACATGTGGCTGGAGCTTAATTATAAAAAAAAAGTCGCCGGAGCTTCAGAGTGGAGAGCTGAGGCCAGGTTGTCGTGTGGCTGAGGGCCCCCCCAAGTCCGACACAGAGGTTACGAATCCAATGTCGCCCTTCCTTTCTCGTCACAGCCGTCGCACTGTAACGGTTGTCCGAAGCCAGCCATCACATACCAAACAATGTCGAAGACAGCCATGCTAATTCCTCGCTAAGGACACCAGTTCTGTTTTCTCTTCTACCACACCTGCTTTCATCCCACTCAACAATCGAGAAGCAGACATAGGATGAATCTTGCTCTGCTCGGCTACGGATACATATCGCACATGTCCCTTTGCTCGCCCGCAAACGCAGACGACGCCCCACTACTGACGATACCACCACCAATACCTTCACCACCAACAAGATGCCCTGGTTCTGGTCCAGCGCCTCCTGCGACGAGTCCGCTTGCGCCGCCGTAGACCCCAACGCACCGTCGACCCTCGGCCTGCTCTTCTCGCTGCTGCCCTTCCTCCTCACCTTCGCCGCCGTCGCCGTCTTCGCGAACCAGACCATCTTCCCCAAACTCGCCAGGGTCCACGACGCCCACGATGGGGAAGACCACTACCTCCCCTCCCACGCCCCGCCGAGCCTGCGCCAGGCCCACGCCGAGCACGGACAGAAGAGCGCGCGGCGGCGCGTCGCGGCCGCTGTGTTTAGTGTTACGATTGCGCTGGCGACGGTGCTGGGCGAGTTGATCCTGAGCGAGATTTCGGATTTGGTGAGCAGGCGCGCGCGGGAGGTCGGGTTGCGGGTTACGGTGCCGACGTTGCTCGTGCTGCTTGTGGGTGTTATTCCGTTTCTGGAGATCCAGAGCGTGGTCTCGGGTGCCGGGTGGAAGTTTCAGCGGAATAATAAGGGGAGGATACCGAGGTTCGCGTGGGCTGTGCAGATGCTCGTTTTCGGGGGGTGGGTGTTTGCGTTTTGGAGCTTGGGCGGGTTGGTCGGGCTCGACAAGACGGCGACGGCGGGCGGCGGGGTGCTGCGCGCTTGTCTGGAGAGGATCGGCGTCATCGGGATCTCGCTGATGGCGATGCTGAGCGGGTTCGCGGCGGTGTCGAGCCCGTGGCATACCCTCGGCGCGGTGTCGGAACGGAGAAAGAGGCCCGTTACGGAGGCGGACGTTTCGAGAAAGGAGGCCGGGCTGGATGCCACCAACGAGATGCTCCTCACGAAACGACACCGGCTTCAGGCGCTGGAGCGGAAGGCGGCCGAGGCGCAGTCGGGCGGGTCTTCGACTTCGGGGGCCGGCGGCGGCGGCGGGTTCATGGGCAAGATGCTCGGCGCCGTGAGGGGTATGGGCGGCGGCGATGAGGCCGAGATGCGCGCGCTGCGGCTGGAGATTACGGGCCTCGAGACGATGGAGGCGAACTTGCACTCCTCGCTGGGGGTGATGCGCTCGCGCCGGGCGGCGGACGCGCGCGCGGCGACGACGATTGGGAAGGTGCTCGCCGTACCGCACTACGTCTTTTCGCTGTACTGCCTCTACCGCATCCTGGCGACGACGCTGGCGACGCTGCGGAGGGCGTATTACCCTTCCTCGAGCTTCAGCTCCTCGGACCCGATTAACCGGTTTTTGGGTTTGCTGGCGCGGCACTGGGACCCGTCGCTGGACCAGATTGCGTGGGCGAGGCAGATTAGCTTTTTGCTGAGCGGCGTCATGCTCGCGGCGAGCGCCAACAGCGTGTTGCAGACGTTCCACCTGTTCTCCAAGTGGATGCCGGGCCTGCTGTACCAGGCGCAGGCGAACTTGGCGCTCATGATTGGGCAGATCACGGCCGTGTACGTGATTTCGGCGGCTCTGTTGCTGAGGAGTAATTTGCCGCGGGAGATGGGCAGCGCGGTGGGGGATGCGTTGGCGGGCGCGCTGGAGCCGCGGTTCGTGGATTGGTGGTTTGAGGGGTGGTTTCTGGCGAGTTGTGGTGTCACTGGGCTGGGGGTGTGGATTTCGAGGAGGATTGGGAGGGAGGAGTGGGATGAGTTTGGGGCAGAGGAGATGGGTGCCAAGCGGATGTAGGGACGACGGTCTGAAGGTCTGAGGTTGTCTGCCCCTCTAGCTCTACCCAGGAATGGGAGGGAAGGAGGAAGAGAAGCAGTTGGTATGACTATGAGATATGTTTTGATATTGGGGTGTCTTGACTATGATGGGGGAGTTTTGGGCGTGTCTTATTATACCTACGGGTTGGGATGTACTAGGACCTTGTACAATCATGATTTTTTCACCTTGATCGTTTTATACTTGAAGATGTTCTGATGCTTGGTTTCACGACTTCAGATTCGTGATGAGTTCTAGACAAATAAGAGGCCGAATGATATAAGACAGGAGGTAGATAGATGTACACGTATGCGTAGATAAATGCGTATACGCCATGATACGAGGATGATTTCTCAAAAGCTTGCTCTCATATCTCACTCATCTCATCGTGAACAGAGGATCAGACATCATCTCGGAAAGTAAAAAAGTAAAACACGAGAAAAAGAATGGACCGATCGAGGGTTCGAACATGGACCCCGAAATAGACCGGAGACTTCACGGCCCAACCGGGGCCTCTACAGCCCGGAACGTCTCGACCATGTGGCCATGTACTTGTTGTTGAATCATTGGGACGTTAGACTAAGTGTAAAGGCTAGAGGGCGATACGATCTGATGTTGAGGTATATGCTTATTTGAGGTGAATACTCAGAGATACGTACCTAGGAATATATCTGCAAACCACCTCAGTATGTCCAATATATTCATCACAAGACCTATCTACCCCTCTACTCTCCTCCATAACAACACAACACTCCCCATCACATCCCCATATCCCTCCTCCAAGCAGCCTTCACCTCGTCCACCATACCCTCCTTAGTCAAAACATCAATCGCAACACCAGTCAGCCCCTTTCCAACCCGCAAACTCCTCTCAAACGCAACCCTCGTCCCCGCCGCCTCCGCAAACTCCGGATTATGCGGGCCCTGCCCTCCCTTCCCGGGTGGAATCGCGAAGCCGACGCTGAGAGAGGGCATGGCGTAGCTGATATCGCCCTGATCCGTACTCGCCATCGTCCGCCCGCGAATCTCATCCACATCCTCGTCCGTCGGGATCGGAGCGTCGTTGTCTCCCCCATCTCCATCCCCGCCAGAACCGAGCAACGCATTAAAGTACCGCGTATACGAACGCCCCAGCACGCGATTCGGCACATGATCCTTATACGCCCCCGTAAACGTAACCTTCAACGTCGCCCCCGTGGCCTCCGCCCCCGCAGCGAAGCACCTCTGCACCTTTTTCAAAAGCGCAGAGAGCCGCGGCTGGGTATCCGACCGCACCACGAAATTCGCCGCCGCGTACGCGTGGATGATATTCGGCCGTGCGCCGCCGTCGGAGATGTTACACTGTATCACGTCCCCCGGCCGCGTCTGCTGCCGAAGCACGGAAATCGAAGTGTACGCCACCACCAGCGCGTCGAGCGCGTTGATGCCGAGCCACGGGTTCGCCGCGGCGTGGGCCTCGCGGCCGAAGTATTCGAGGCGGAGGGAGGTGTAGGCCGAGGTGCGCATCAGGGCTGTGGAGGGGACGATGCCCGGGTGGGAGATGAGGTTGATGTCTGGCGCGCGGTTGGGGGAGCCGGCGCCGGGGCAGGTGGAGGGGTTGTAGGCGCCGGCTTTGAGGAGGGCGATTTTGCCGCCGCCGCCTTCTTCTGCGGGGGTGCCGTAGAGGATGAGCTTGCCGGGGAGGGCGTGGCGGGCGAGGAGGGTTGAGGTTGCGAGGGCTGCTGTTAGGGAGGCTGTTGCTATTAGGTTGTGGCCGCAGGCGTGGCCTATTCCTGGGAGGCAGTCTGTTGGGAGGTGTTAGTTGGGTAGAAGGAAGAGGAGGAGGGGGAGAGGTCTGACCCATCTCGGCATTGAACGACACGACGGGTCCCTTTTCGCCGCTTTCCCAGACGGCGACCCAGGTGGTCTTCATGCCGTAGGCTGAGGGTGTGACCTTCCATCCTGGCTGGGTGCGCATGAAGGCCACTAGGGTGTCGTGGGCGATGAACTCGCGGTAGCCGAGTTCCGGGTTATCGTGGATGGTTTTGTTGACGGGCCATAGTGCGTCGGCGAGGTCTGTTACAATGGAGGAGATTTCATCGAGGAAAGGTGGTGGTGGTGGTGGTGCTACTGATGAGGAGGGTGAGGTTGAGGTGGACGAGGTTGGGATCAATGAGCAAGGTGAGGTTGATGTGCACGTGGGATGGGTGTCTGCGTGGGAGACGAGGACGAAGTCGTCTTCTGACGTATCCATTTTGAAAGAGTTGATGTGAGTTTCACGGTAGCTGATGAGTATGATGTCGATTCAGCCGGTGATTGAAGTGCCCCTCGATTGGGGTGAGAGGCGACGTAGCTGGGTTGAACCTGCACTGTTCCTGATGAGGGTGAGGTAGGTGAGTGAGTGAGATCCGGCGAGAGGAGGTTGTGTAGTGAGGGCCGTCTGAAGAGACGGTTCCGAGCGGCGGCGTGTCTCCGACCACCGGCCGGGTTTCGATTGATGTTATCTGTACCGAGGCCGCGGATGCTATGCGATGCAAGTTGCCCCTTTCAGCTAGCGTATTCGCTGCGTTATGCTTGGTTGGAAGCTGGTCGTGCATAAAGCAACGCATTTCACATTTCTTCAGAACAGGTAGGGAAGAAGAGGAGAACGACCGCGCTTGTGTACGGAAGCTACTGCGAGAGTCGCGCGATCTCACTCAAAGATAGACGTCTTGCTATTTCCAACGTATTTGGTAAGCTCTGCTCCACTGCATGCTTGAGACGGCTGAGTGTCGCTACGGTCATGCGGCTCTCTCTGATGACTTTGAACGTTGGCGACGCTCTTCTGATAAGCTCACACTGAGATAACTCTGCTTCCATTGAATATCGACAGATCCAATACCCTTCCATCTCAAAGTCCTGACGTTTTGAAACCTCTTTTCAACCGGAATGAATGCGCAGTCTCCTCCTGACTGCAGAGCTTGTCAACCTGCTTCCACGAACCCCAGCAACCTAACCCCACCTCTCTCTCCCTTGGAATCAATAATCATCTTTCTCCAGTCAACGTCCGTATCATCCTAATCAACTTGGCCGACGTCTCGATCCAGTGCGTGAGCAGGAACGGGGTGATGTAAAAGATGAGGGCGACAAAGATGAGGCGGCGCGCCCAGGGAGGGGGCATGAGGAGCGCTAATATTCTCTCCGCTGGCGATGTTTCCGCGACCCGCGCCTGCTGTGAAGCTTGCGAGGTTTGCGATGCCTCATCTACTTGCGCTCCCGCAGCGGGCGAGGGGACTGGCGTTGATTTTTGCTTGGTCATTTTAGTTGTGGTTGGGGCCTGAGAGAAGTGGTTAGATATCCTCGAAGATCGACCTGCCTGAGCGATGCTGAGTACACTGACCTTTCTTCGTGAGATTTGATGAATGAGTGATGCGCTCGCTGATCAGCAAATGTGAATGTATCTGGATGAAGACGACGATAAAGACACGCAGTCCTCTCGAGATGAGGCTGACAAGACCAACCGTCTTGCCAAGGCGCTTGGCCGTCTAACGCCTGGCTCACCAGTGTTGGTCTTTTGGGAGCTTCCTCATTTGGCCTGTTGGGAGGGATTATGCATCGTTGTGCACACTGGCATGGTGCGACGGGTAAAGGCGGCGACTCTTCAGAATCTTGAAGTGGAGGGGGAGGCCGGCTGTTCCCCGCAGGAGATAGCTACCCGTTGGGCGGACCCTTGTTCTTATCGACCCGGTGTTATCGGCTGTCTTGGTCCCGTCGTGTGCGCCGGTTGCGCTTTAGACACCCCGTATGGAGAGGTTCAAGTTTTCCGAGGGAAGAAAGCATCACAACCAGGACTCAGACACGGATGAAAGGCCGCTGGGGAAAGACGAGCATCTCACATCTTGAGGTGTTTCTCGTAGGGCACATGTTATTAAGTGAGTCTTTTCCAGCAAGCTGGCGAACCAGTTTTCCACTCGAATGAGTTGAGTTCACGTTGGGGCTCAAGCTGCAAAGGGGCGATCAAAGTCCGACGAGACCTTATCCATGTCAGCAGATACATGAACCATTCTGCAACCATTCTGCCGCTGGCATGATACTACGTGAAGATGAGGGGCTGGTGAGTGGAAGAAATCACCCGAGCGAGATAAGACGATTGGCAAAACAAACGTGAAATTGCCGATGGTCGGATCTACTCCGATGAACAAGACCCACACGCTCCAATGACTCTAACCCGCGGCCTTCGTTCAACGTTCCATTGATAAAAGAAGTCGTGGGCTCCCTAGAACCTCAAAAAGGAGGAGAAAACTTTCTTTTCCGGATCCTCGTGCCAATAAATTAAGACGACCCAAGAACCTGGGACTCGGTACACCCACAAGTCCTCTTTAGTCTTTGACAAACTCCACCTACTCCGTACTGTGTAAGGCACTCCGCAATGGCACCCACCGAAATCCCGGCCTCCGACCCGGAGAAGCGGGTCCCCACGGACATCGTCCCCGCCACCACCGGCCCCCTGGACGAAGACGCCATCCCCTCAAAGCACCACATCACCGACGAGACCGGCGCCCTCGCCGCCTCAGCCCTCGACTCCGCGCCCCTCGACCCCGCCGAGTCCCGCTCCATCCTCGCCAAGCTCGACAGGCGCATCCTCCCCTTCCTCTGCATCACCTACGCCCTGCAGTTCATCGACAAGACTTCTTTGGGGTACAGCTCCGTCTACGGCATCATCAAGGACAACAAGCTCGTCGGGCAGCAGTACAGCTGGGCCAGCTCCATCTTCTACTTTGGGTATCTTGTCGCGGAGTACCCCGGCGTCGCCGTCCTGCAGAGGTTCCCCGTCGCCAAGTTTCTGGGCGTGAATATCGTGCTCTGGGGTATGATTCTCATGACGACCGCGGCGTGTAGCTCCTTTGCGGGGCTGGCGTCGGTTCGGTTCCTGCTAGGTGTCACGGAGGCGACCATCTCGCCCGGCTTCGTGGCCGTCACGGGCATGTGGTGGACGAGACAGGAGCAGGCCGGCCGCTCGGCGCTGTGGGTTTCGTTCCTGGGCGTTGGCAGCTTCGTCGGGACCTTGCTGGCGTACGGCATCGGGCACATCACGGGCTCGCTGTCGCCGTGGAAGTACATCTTCCTGATCCTCGGCGCCATGACCGTCGTCTGGGGCGTCGTGTTTACGATTTTCGTGCCGGACGGGCCTGCAAAGGTGACGTGGTTGACGGAGAGGGAGAAGATCGTGGCCGTGCAGCGCGTGGCGGAGAACCAGACCGGTACGGGACGGAGCAGGACGTTTGTCAAGGCGCAGGTTATTGAAGCGGCGAAGGACCCGGCGGTTATTATCTTGGGGCTGATTTCGTTTGTGAATGCGATTGCGTCGGGAGGGTTGGCGTTTGGGTCGTTGATTATTCAGGGGCTTGGGTTCAGTCCGCTCAACACGACGCTTATGAACCTGCCGCTTTCTACCGTGCAGGTTGTCACGCAGCTTGGGGCCGGGTTCTTGAGCAGCAAGATTAAGAGTTCGAGGCTGCACGTCGCAACCGTCGCCATGATCCCACCGGTATGCTCTGGCCGGTCCTACTCGTTGATATTTCGCTGACTCTTGAATTAGATCATCGGAACCTGCCTCATCAACCAGCTCCACGCAGACAACAAATGGGGCCGCCTCGTTGGCGTCTGGCTGCTGGGCTCCTACCCCGTCGGCTTCATGGTCATCCTCGGCCTGCTCTCGACCAACATCGCCGGCAGCACGAAGCGCTCCGTCGCCTCGGGCTGGGTCTTTGTGTGCTACTGCGTCGGGCAGATTGCCGGCCCGCAGTTCTTCAAGAGCACCGAGGCGCCCGCGTACCACAGCGGCATCGTGGCCATGCTGTGCGGGTTTATTCTCAACCTAGTCCTGAACCAGATCCTGCGTTTCATATATGTGTTGGAGAATAAGAAGCGCGATCGGATGCTGGAGGGTAAGTCTGAGGAGGAGGTCAAGGAAATGCAGAGGGAGGGCGAGGTGCTTGGGTTCGAGGACGTGACGGATAAAGCGAATGTGAGTATGCCCGTTGTATGGGGCCGGTCTTTGAGTGATTTGCTAACTAAGTGTAGCCCATGTTCCGATATGTTCTTTGAGCGAGGATAAATATCGAGATGCTCATGACTGAGGGAGTCTAATGTTCGGATGGTTCGCGAGAAGTTGTTGGGTGCAGTGGATGAACATTTCGAAGCCGGATTAAACATAGTCTAATGATAACGTCTTAATGTTTAAGTTCTATCAGAGAATTCCACTCGCAGATCCTCTTCAGGTACCACTGCATTCTCTATCACTTCAACCAAGACTCCCAGGGTTCAGGATCTTCCAATCCGGATGCCGGTAATCCTCTCTCGACTCGTCAAACGGCCCAATATGAGGCTTCACCAACTCAAAAAGCACTCTATACCCTCCACCCCCCAAATGCAGCCCATCCGGGACTAAAACTTCCAGCCCACCCCGCTCACCTCCCGGGCTCCCAAGCGGGAGACTACTCCGGCTGAACCCAATCGTCATCTGCTCGGCCCGCCGCATGACAGCGCCATAGAGGTCGATCGGCACGACACCGGTCACCTCGGATGCCACGGCGAGCGCCGCGTCCGAGTACGCCTTGCTCACGGCCGCGCTGCGCGACGCCTGGCCGTGGCCCTTTTCGAGATCGCGTTCCAGCATGCGGATCTCGTCGAGAGGAGGGGGGTTCACGAGCAGGATCTTGGGGCTGTGGGCGCGGATGGTGGGGTGGGTGAGGATGGCCTTGAGGTTGTGCTTGTATTGGTCTAGGGGGATTTGCTGGCTGTTTGTGGGGATTGGAAGGCAGGCGTCATTGGCGCCGAGGAGGATAAGCTGGATAGGAGGTCAGCCGATAGGACATATGGAAGAGCTTTTGGTGACTGTCTGGACGCACAATATAGTCTATCTTGGGCGTTGTTGCCGAAGGTGGTGAGAAGAGGTCTGAGAGAACTCCTAGAGCATTGGTCGTGTTGTAGCCTGAGAAGCCTCTATTGATGACATCGAGACGCCTCATACAGACTACTCGTCATTTGTTCAGCATCGGATTACTTGCTAGCCTAAAAGATCGGTGGTGGACCATGAGAGGTTATCTTACGGTCTTGGAGAGCGGCCTGAAAGGAGAAGCCATCTTGAGGCGTGCAAGATAGTTGGAATAGCGAGTCTCCAAAGAGGACGACTTGATTGTAGGGCTGTGTGAGTGAGATCATGTTAGCATGGCGGGAACCGAGAGTGAGAGATGAGCACCGTGGTGAGAACTTGCCGGCATATTGAAGTGCCAGGAGCCAGTAGACGGGAGCTGTTGAGAGAGAGGGAACAAGGACAGATATCAGCCGCTGTGAGGATTTCGTCACTTGAAGCAGACGCTGAGCTTAGGTGAGGAGGTGATGCTACTAAGATGCCGAAAACTGCCCGATTAAAGCGCTCAAGGTTTGTGGGGTGGAATCTCATATCTGTTCATTATGATTGGCTTGATTCTGTTTGCCTTTTCTGTTTGTTTATCCCGGTGCACAGAGGTATTTGTCCTCATAGCAAACACTACCTTGTACCTGGTTGCGATTTCCTCATTGCTTTCAGTTCAACGACGAGGGGTACTAAGGTATCACAATGGATATGAAGTTTGAGTCGAAGGAGTAAAGATTCTAGCCACGCTGCATCAATTGGATGTCCAGCAATCTGGAAGGCTTTTACGCAACCTGTAGAACGCCACCAAGTGACGTGCAATGCACGGCTTGCCTTACCTTGAGCACCCGGGTAGCGGAGCAATTTCTCCCTGAGATTCGGGGGAGGCTCCGAAGCGTGGGGCCGAAGCCGAGATCAAGCCCGGTCTTGATCCGCCCACTCGAGCCAAGCTTTTTGTGAGCAGCACTCCGTATGGATGCGAGATATCTCCGTCGCCATTCATTGTGACTATCCACGCTTGGACTTGTCTAGTTCCCTTACAATCTAACCGACCACGCGAAAGCAGAAAATGCGAGTACCACCCTTCACTCATGTCTAGAATCGCCCAAGTTTCAGGGGAAAAGCGTTCTTGGGCCTTCTGGGCTAGGCTGGGGTAATTATTAGTAAGTTGAACTGGTCATCCCTTTGCCTGCCGGGCCACTGGGAATGTGGCGTCGCCGCGAAGGTCCAAATAGGACAATTGGCTCTAATCACATTTCTTAGACAGGAGAAAGCTGGCGGTGGACCCAACATGTCGGAATTAAAGCCGTTTCTAAATTTGCCAAGCTCAGAATCCCGCAAGTAGGCCGGGGAACCGGAAACGCAATCGAGTGTCTGGCAAAAGGAGCAGAAATTCTCCAACTCCGGAATTTCTGCTTCTGCTCGAAATGGGCGAAGACTGTTGAGACCACATCTCATACTGCAGAACGTGATGTTCAACTCCTTGGCCTCACCCTCGGAGCCTCCAAAGAAGTGAGCATCAATTCAAGCTCTAGATCATCGAGGCGCCGATTCCTAGGCACGAACGGGGAATGAAAATCGTCGATGGCTGTTCCACGGGAGCAAGAAGATTACCAGAGAATGATCTTCAACCCAAAACTTCGCGCAGGCACGAGGCTTTAGGGCTGCCAATAAGGCGAGCGCGCTAGCTTCCAATAGTCTGGACCTAAACGTCCGAGCTGCAAGTCATTACATGATAATCTTTGTCTGTGCCTCTCTTTTTTCTCCTCACGCGCGCGGGGATCTTCATCGAGCTTGGGGCACACGGGAGTCGGGAGCCGGGACATGGAGTGTTTGTCATTAGACTGGTGTTGTCGGTAGGGCTGCCACGCGGGTGGGAGGTGATCCGATTCCTGAAGGATATGGAAGCACCTGGACATCAACAAGTTGATTGAGAAAGCCATCCCCATTACGTACACAACGAGCAAAGGACGAGCTGCTTTATCCCAATGTTTTGGAACCAAGTCAAGAGAAGCAAGTTCAAGAAGCCTTCGAGGCTAGCCCCGCCGGTTAGAAAGAAAGATTGAAGCGTGCCATTTGTCCGGGTCGACGCCCAGCGGCCGCCTTGTAGTCATTCTTTTGCGATGTGGGAGGGTCGAATGCGGCCGCGAAATTCTAGATTTCTAGATGTGGTCTAAGCACAACCTAGGCTGGCAAGACTGGGCGTCACATCGAGAGCTAGTCCCCCTTATGATTGCATGATCTTCGAGTTTTCTGGAGGATTGCGTGACGCCCCATGTGTGGCGTCGACCCAAAACACATGGTTCGGACTGCCTAGTGCTGATCCCGTCGCGCCTTGTCGAAGATGCATCCGGCTGTCTGAGACACACTGTTTCTTTGACACCTTTTTTCGCGGAGCCGCTCCGTAGCGTTATTACGCTGACAAGTTGAATGGTGTGCCCCTGAGAAGAGAGAAAAAACATTTCTCCAAGCGATGTGACAATGAAGGATAGCGCTGCGTGTTTGCTTGGCGAGGGGAGGTTTAATAGTATCAGCCATGGCCACTTCCCATGTAATAACCTTTGGACTACTAATCGTCGACTGATCTTCAACGGCGCTCTCAAGACTTACGGCCGAGGGGAAGGTTTCGAGGCCTTTTGCCTATGTCTCTCGACCACGATATCCAGAATCGCCAGGAAACGCCCGAGACAGAAACGGAGATTCTTTCAAGATGAGGATCCCGCCCATCGATGTGCTCATCCATTGGCCGCGGCCAAATTATATCAACCCGGAGAACCGGGGGCCGGGGCTGCTCATCATCGAGATGGTTTTCTTAGGCATCGCCTTGATATGCCTCTGCCTGCGGATGTACATCAGGATTGTCAAGATTCGACAGACATGGTGGGATGACTGGCTTATGGTCGCTGGCATGATATTCTGCATCGGTGTCACGATTTGCGTCATTCTCGGTATGGGCCCCTCCAACTGGAGCCGCGGAATGTATTGGTACCGGCAACAGGAACCTTGATGCTAACACTTTGCGATTAGCCACTGAATTATACGGTTGGAACCTACATGTGTGGGATGTTCCACTGTCACTGATCAAGCAAAGTCGACAGGTACGTTTTCCTTTCGGTGCGATCTTAACTCCAGAGGCGTAACTCTAACGGTGAATGCATGGTAGATCTCCATGGCCGCGCAGACCCTCTTCCTCTTCGCCTCCGGGTTGTCCAAGCTCTCGATTCTTGCCAGCTACCTTAGACTTGCGGCACCGGGAACGTGGTTCCAACGGCTTACTTGGGTGACTGGCGGCCTCGTCTTCACCCTTGTCTGGGTCTTTCTCATTGTGCTCTGGACCCAATGCATGTAAGCAAACACTCTCACCCTGGACCCTACCAGATATCAGAAAGACTGACAGACACCCCAACTACAGGCCGATATGGCACTACTGGACCCTCTTCGCCGATTGGGGAAACTGCATTCCCGAATGGCCGCCCCTGGCAGGCCAAGGCATCACAAACGTCCTCACCGACATCGCCGTCTACCTCCTCCCGATGCCGACCCTCTTCCGCCTCCAGATGCCCCTAACCCAGCGCATCAGTCTCATCATCCTCTTCGGCCTCGGCACCGTTGTCGTGCTCGCGGGCATCATGCGCACGTACTGGGTCATCCGCGTCGAGGTCTTGTATGTGGAGGATCCCTCGTACGATCTCACGTGGGACGGGTTCAATATCTGGGTGTGGACCGCGCTAGAGGCGAATCTGGCGATTGTGTGCGGGTGTGCGCCGACGCTGCGAAGGTTGTTTACGGGTGGTGGTAAGGATCAGACGCCCAAAGTGCATAGTTCGATTCAGACGATTGGGAGCTCGGGGATGAAGAGGAGGAAGCATCGGTCGCTGGGCACGGGGCTGGGGCGGGAGGATGATATTGAGGAGCATGGGTTGACGATGTTTGAGTCGAGGGGGACGGCTTCGGGGAATAAGTCGGTGGAGATTCATGAGCATACGCATTCAAGTCATTCATGAAGAGCAGAGCATGATGGTATCACCACCCTAGGCTTGACACAGTTCAGGTCTAATCAAGGTCTAATATTTCTTAATTGCAAAAAGCTCTCAACGAGTCCATGAAGATCATCGAGCGCCTATGGATAAGTACGGTGCTGCGCGTGGATGAACAATCCGAGTATCAGTGGCCCTGGAGAGCTTCCTTTCGAACAATCAACTACACACTTCTTTGCGGATCTCCCACCTGAATAGCTTCAAGAGGCTGCGCGCTGTATTGTACCGTGTATCTTCCTCGATGGCGTAGTGCAGGATCTCAACGTCGTCCAAGTTCTTGAACCGCTCAGACTTCAGCTCGCGGCACAAGTCTGTCAGGGGTCGCTCGCCGAAACAGTCTTTCAAGCGCGTGACGGTCAAGCTCTCCAGGTTCTCGGGTTTCAGCTCGCCAAGGCTGTTGACAGTAATCCCCCCGCAGTGATTTCTCCACCCTGAGATCGACAGGTGTTTTTGCAAGCGGTCCGCAGAGCAGGACGTAGAGGTGACGGAGTTGCTCGAGGTGAACACCCATTGGGATTCGAAAGGAGAACAAGTCGTGAACGGGCAAGAAGGCTGCTGAGTGTAGTTCTAGTTTGGCGAGCTCCGGTTCTCGATAGAGCCGAGACAGGTGGTGAGGTGTTTAGTTCTGGTATAAAAGCTATGTCCGGTTTCGTTGGCCTTCAAAGGTTGAAGGGCGAATTTCTGAGGTCGGGTTAGATTGACGTTGAGGCTAGTCTAACTGGAGAAGTACCTTAGTCGAGGAGAAGGTGAGCAGCACATTCGGACAGACATGTAGTCTTGCGGTCCGCATTCCAAGGTAAACGACAATTGTTCCAGTTCTTGGGGAAAGGGATAACGATGCGGTCTGCGGCGTTCATGATTCGTTCTGTACCGAGGCTATTCATCCGACCAATCCATGCCTGGAGTACCGTCGTTCTGAACATCTACGCACATGCCTGACTTGTTCGCGATATCCAGGCCTGCCAGAGCGGCAGAGATGTCCTTCTTTCCCTCTGTCAACGTTCAAGGTAATCGGAAACGACGAACAAAGCGTGCAGGAACCGGAATGTTTAACAAAAGACAAAGGTCTGGGAAGAGTGCTTCGCGTAGGATGTCGTAGTAGCAAGAGTAGATCTCGTGGCCCGCCATCGAGTGCATGGCTCTGCAGGTCCGCATCAGTCGAGCAAGGGGTACACCGCATGCGAGGACGTTGGCCAGCTTTGTTCTTCGGAAGGCGATGCTGCTGTGGCCGGGGAAAAGAGACCAGTACAAGTGCCTCGAGCATGCGTCTTGCATCGGTGCTGCTAGGTGTTCACACATCTCTAGGAGCACTTCTGGCGGCAGGTAGAGGAGTCTGGGTATCGGCATGGCTTTCGTGGTTCGTGGTTCATGTCGTTGGTTCGGGGCTGAAGTAAATCAGTCATGGAGAGCTTGGTAGTTATGGAGTGAACTAAAATAGTCAATATTTGAGCAAGGAGTTTAGGTACTATGTCGATGGAGTCTCTTCTAGATCTCTCAACGGAATGGGAAACCCTGAGCTTCCATGTTCACCCATCTTCGTCCATGTTCAAGGCAAAGAGACGCCTAGGCTTCTTTGACCCGATAGCCATCACTCTAGACGACCATGACGGGGAAGGTGGACGACGAAAGCTTCGTGAGGTCCTCTCGAGCCATTGTGACGCGGGGAAGAGCATGTGTCGCTTAAAGAAAGCAGTTTAGGCACGTTGAAGAAAACGCAGTTTCAATGAGAGACTTCTTTGCATACCACGGAGAGAAGTTTCCAGCGAGCGCTTTGACTCCATCATTCTTGCAGACTCCGACTTGGCCATTCGACGGCATGCATCTAAACCTCCCGGTATGTAAGCCGTTTTCGGGTTATCTAGATGAGATGGATGGGCGTCGTGCGAGGGGACCAATCATTGTATCGATAGTTCGATACCCGTTTGGTTCTAAGTTCAAGGCCAACTTAGAGTTTTCCCAACTTTAGTTCAGACGAGTGGCGTGTGCATAAGTCAAAAGCCGTCAACGCAGGAGAGCCAAAAGCGTAAGGTCGAAAGTCAAACCAAAGTGCTCGAGACTCTGTCAATTTCGATAAAAATGATCAAAAACATTAAAAGAAATGCCCGAAGAATGACTTGGTCAATCGCGGTGAGGATTTGAGCCTCACGCGGGGGTCGAACCCGCAACCTTGAGATTAAGAGTCTCACGCTCTACCGATTGAGCTAGCAAGGCGGGTCTTGGATTTTTGATTGTTGAGCATCGCTTCGAAATTGTGGACTATCTTTGAAGTGTTCTGGAGGGTAGCGGGCGGCGAATATCGCGGTAACGACTTGCGACGTCTAGGCTCTAACGTCTAGTAACAAAAATCTGGATATCCCGCCGGCAATCCAGAGACAGCAAGGGGTTGTGTCTATATGTACCTTTGGGTTTTCTCAATACCCGTGCCAAGCCATCTTTGGCGTTAGACCGGTCGGTAAATGATATCTGGAATTGTCTCAAACATAGTGACGCTTGTGGCTTCGGCATGTTGACAAATTGCATTTCTTCCAACTCCCTCTTTGATGGCTTGTACACTTGCAGTGCAGCACAATCCATCAGTGTGCTTACGCAGTTACGAGCTGACGGATTTCTTGCGGAAGGAATCAGGATTCGACCGTGGGAAATGGTTTCTCCTTTGTTTTGGTTTTTTGGAAATTAATCGGGATGCAAAGGTGGCCTTTGCTCGAGTTTCTCTCTCTCGTAATTCGCCTGCCTGGGCAGACTAAACCGGCTGCTGGGATCTTATTCATCAAAGTGCGAAGTTGCCTCGGCTCACCAGCCATTTCATTTACCAATTTCCGACACCGACACCACTCGGGTCAACCGAAAGACACAGACCAATGGTCCCCAGTGTGTCAAGTATTTTGAGAAGATGGGAATCGCGAGGAATGGACTATTTTGGGGTGTGTGTGAGTCGGCGATTGAAGCTCAGATCGGCGGATTTAGCTTAGGTTTTTTTTTTTCATGTGGTTTCTTACGGAGCACTCCTATTTTGGAGGGGAGAAGCGCGCAGCTTGCGAGGTACGCTATATCTATGGGCTACAGGCACAAAAACCAACCCTTGTCTCTTGTTTTCACAGCTGGTGCGAATGTCTATGATTGAGCTTATTGGATCAATTCTTTTGATTGGAGTGAAACATTCCCCAATGCTGATCCCATTCTATCAAGTTCCTAAGGCCGTTTTCCCCCTACTGTGTGTTGAGTATGGCGGATCATCTTTAGCTAGTCACGGTGTCACCCGAGACTAGACAAGACATGCCAGGTTTACGGCAGTTTCTCTGTCAGAGAAGAAACGATATTTCGACAAATGTTTCACAAGGGAGGCGCTTGGGAAGTCATCTGCCGATGATCCGTCGCATTTGGCGGCCCCTCCTACCTAGTCTCCCAGTCTCCCCTCTTCCCTGACAAGCCTGAAGCCCCCTCCCATCATCTATGGACCATGAGTTTAGGCATGTTTTGGTGTTCGGAAACGTGGTGTCTTCGCGAAATAGCTCGCCGGCACAGGCATCGCCGCCCAACGCCGCAACGCACCGGTGGACGGGTGGACGGGGGGGCCAGGGTTGGTTGCGCAGAATGCGAGCATTGTTTCTGCATTCATCTCCTTTTTCCATTGTCTCGGTTTAGAAACGTTTCATTGGTCAGCTGTCAGACGTAGCTGAAGCCTGACACCATGAAGCATGAGCCATTGACAGGGCCTAGAATCCAGACGAATCCAGAGACGCTAGTTGCTCATGTCATTATCCGAGCCCTAACAATTTAGCTCGTGACAATCAAATCGTCTGATTTGTTAGGCGGACGGCAACGGGCGGAGGTATTCGGTTCCCCCCAAAGTGTCAATGTCAAGACTCGGGTGTCTGTACTTGACTCTCTCTATAACTTAGATGAGCAGAGAGAGTGAGAAGACAATGAAAAAGAGGTATCCGTAGAAACACGGCACAGTAAGAGGCACAAGAGGTAATTATGAACAAAAGTCCTTTTTGCATAATCATCATCATCCCACCCCCGTCCAACAGACACAACTTGAACATGGCACAGCCGCGCTCGCATTCCCTTCTTGGGTCATCAATGTCATCAACACCCGACGGTACACTACACGCCCCCCTTCCCCCCTCCCCCTTGTCTTCTCGACGCCAAGTCCAAGTGACCAAAAAAATTAGCGCCGTGTTGGATCGGCCATAGGAAGCACAGGCGTACCAGGTCCTCCTCAGGTGACAACTGCAGCTGTGCAGGGGAGGGGAGAAGCCCGAAGAATTCAATTTGGTAAAGAAACGCATCTTGTTGGTGGTGCGGCGGTGGTGGCCGCAGCGGCCCCCAAATTTGACACCCAAATTTGACCCAAATTGAGGACAAATCACAAGCAGAGAAGAGCCAAAAAAGAATACTTTGTAGGTAGTCAACTGGACGCAGGGAGAGACAGGGGAACAAGAGTGACACCGCAACCCGCGCCGCCCACCCACGCCGCGCACTGCGCCTGCGCCTGTGCCTGTGCCTGTGCCTGTGCCTGTGCCTTGCGCGTAGGAAGCAGAACGGTGAAGCAGAAGCAGAACCAGAATTACCTAGGTAGGTAAGAAACCAGACCATGCCAGACCAGGCAGTGCCGCAGGCAGGAATTTGCTGCTCAGTCACCTTTTAGTCGAGGGGGAGAGGGGCCGGAGGGCGGAGGGGAAGGGGGCGGGCAGACAAAAAGAGAAGAAGAAGAACGAGGAGGAGAACAAGAAAGAGGCAGAGGAGAAGGAAAAACTAAGCAAGTAGCCTATAGAGAGAGACAGACAAGACAGACACGAACCAATCTCACTCATCCTTCAGCCTCGGCCAGTTGCGTCCTCGCGACCTGCATCTTGCGTCTAGTCTGCCTGGCCTCATCGGCGCGGCTGATTTTCTGCCCCTCCGAAACTTGAAACGCAACAACTTTGCTGCTCTCTTGGTTTTCTTTCTGTTCCTTATCCCCTTTTCCTTCTAGATCTTTCAGAAGAGAGTAGCCTTGCCTCCCGTTCTCCTCCTCCTCCTCTTTTTTCCCGCCAGCCCCCCAGCCGCAGCCGCAGCCTCCGGGTCTTCGGAAACTTCCTGCACCACACGCACACACACACACACACACACACACCCAAATCCCGCACGCATTTGCCGCGCTGTCGAACGTGCTTTGTGCGGGTACTCGGACCTGGGTCCGGGTTTTTTTTTTACCTTCTCAACCTTCCCGCTTGCCAGCTGGAGCAAGCACACGCGGGACGGTAGAGTCCAGACCAGAGCAGAGCAGAGCGGAACAGGCATAATGACACGGAAGGGCCAACCAAAGGTTCGCACAGGCTGTTTAACTTGCAAGTGAGTTTCTTTTCTCATACTGTATTTCCTCTTTTTTTTTTACTTTGACTTTTTCTTTCTTGATCGGCGATCTGGAGGGTGGCTGCTGCGCGGCGCTGCCTTGGCTTCAGCCCGAAATCCCAGCCTCGGGCGGAACGTGTTATATCCCTCAAAAAGTCGGATGACTTCCGGATGGTCTCCGGATTGTCTCCGGGGCTGCGGTTTTCAACCGGGGCCGGCTGCCGAGACGAGGCCGGACGAACAGCCCCGTCTCCGGCTGCGTATGTACGGTGGTATACATGTATATGTGGTGTGTGTAAGGTGTGCCGCACCGTGTGCGCGCGTTGTAGAATGTGTTGTATGTGAGAGTGTGTGATGTGCGTGTGTGACCAAGCGGCCACCGGGCCTCACCCTCCGTCTCCGTCTCCGTTCCCACATTCACAATCCCGTCCTCAAGAAGAAAAAGGAACACGCCTCCCTCCCTCCGTCGTTCAGTCGTTTCCGCCATTCTTACTTCTCTCTCTTCTCCCATTCAAACAGGTCACGCAAGGTAAAGTGCGATGAAGCAAAACCGGCGTGCGCGCGCTGCACCAGCACCGGCCGCAAATGCGAGGGCTACGCCGTCGTCGTCCCCAGCAACCGGGCCATCGCCCGCGCCCGCTCGCGCACCACGAGGCTGAGAGACGCGCTCGCGCAGGCCAGGGCGGGCTGGGAATTCGAATCGGACCAGGCCACCGTGGAGTACTTTGCCCGGGACGTCGCCCCCAACTTGCCGCAGAACTTTGAAAACAAGTTCTGGTCCGACCTCGTGCCGCGCCTGAGTAAGTCGGAGCCCGCCGTGAGGCATGCCATGGCTGCCATTGGCAGTCTTTTCCCGCAGCGAGGACCCCCGAGTAACTCGATCCAAGGAGCGACGATAAAGACGGCGACGACGACAGCGGCGACGGCAACGACTGCCGATGGAGGGAGAGGGAATCCGCAGGCCGACGAGCATTATGGCAAGGCGTTGCGGTTGATGGCGAACAAGGTCGCGCCGGAAAGGGGGTTTGAGGATGTTCAGACGACGTTGGGAACAGCTGGCACCACTAGGACGACTTCGACGACGACGACGACGATACGAAACGAAAGTAGCAGGTCCTTCGGATCACCCAGCAACCGTTCATCCCCGAGCCTGTCCTCCGCCGGACCGTCATCAGCAATCCAATCCCCGGCGGCTATGACGCCAGGCATCTCGAGCATACCAGAGCTCGCAGAACCAGACCGGCAAGACACCCTCACGCCGACGAACCCTTTCACATCACCCCAAAGCCAAGCCGGTGGCGACGACCCCGACGACGACATGGCGCAACCAAACGA